GTGCCCTACACAATAAACATTTTAAAGAAAGATTTATAAGCACAGGGGGTAGTAAGTCCTCCTTTGAGCCTTATATGCTTCAATCCTATACTAAAAATCTATTTTACATCACCATCACTTGAGCACCCACATTTTTATGAGTTAAGAATCTAGTATCACATGCATTTCAGCATTGAAAGGAAAGTAGACGACTTACTGCAGGGAAATAAGTGCCTTTGGTGCTTGAAGAACTGCTTGACGAGGCTCCTGTGACATGAGCTCGATCATAGGGTGGGCCACTGCTTCCCCCCATGATACTGAGGGAGCTGATCATTGATTTACCTCGAGACATTCCTGAAATGAAAGTGAGGATGAATGAGATCCATTACAATGCACGAAGTAATTTTACTCAGCATTAGGATTATAAAAACCAGTCAAACAGCCTGAGTTTAAAACATCAATATGCCCTTTTTTCCTAATGGTGACTAAAACCTTTAATGGAGAAGGGAAATGAATGTTCTCCAGAAGTGAATGCTTCCATTAAGAGCTTGGCCAAAATAAGGCCAAGAATAGCTCCCACTTACTTCCCCTAATGGAAGCAGAGCTCTTCAAAATGAGAGGTTTTAATTTGAAGGGTAAAAGCGGAGGCTGTAAAGTATGGTAGATCAAATAATAAATTTGTTCAAAAAGAAACAAAATTTTTTTAGGACATGAATACATACAGAAGGTATTTCTTCATCTATTAGATACAAGTGTTGCTACAATCAAAACTACCAACGCTAAAGAATTTTTTTCTTTGTTTTGCAAGCAGTTTCCCAAATCCCACTCCCTGAAAATAGGTATGGAGACAAGGAAACAGTATCATTAACATCTCAAAACCCACATCTGTCCACTGAAAAGTTATATCCAGAATAAGTTAGTATTTTCAGAGGGCTTTTGCTAGGCATCTCTTTCTCCATATTCATTAAAAGGAAGACTTCTTTTCACATAGGGCACCAGGAAACGCTGAAAAGAAAGCTATCCTTCCCTAGAGCAATGTGGCCTACCTAAATGCAGAACGTGGGGCTAACCTGGTTATGCCTAAACCAGCCCTTGTCTCATATCATCAGGAAAAGTCAGCAGAAAACATAAGACAGTATATTCCTCCTTTCTATTTCTATTACCCAGCTACTTCCAAACCCATGTCTGCTAAAGGGAATCATTGGCCTTTTTTACTCTGGGGGTCAACAGTACTGGGGTTCTCCAGAGTAAACTGCAGAACTTGTGGTTTATGATTCTTTTCTGAATGGCTGATTCATTTAGTAGTGTGCATCCAGAAGTATAGTCAGAAGCGTTTAGAACTTTCTTTTTAGCAATTCCTATCAAACCACGCCTAAGTCCTTTTATGTTCCTGAGGCAAGGTACTAAAAGTAAAATACAAAAACAAAAAAATCCTTACCAGTTTTTAAACCCACAGCAACATACTTTGAAACAGACCCCAAGTAATACCCTATCTCCACAGTGGAAATGTGGCAGTCCTCCTACGATCAGTCTTAACTCACCAGGAAGAGAGCCTGATAAGGAACTTGGGTGTGGCACATAACCGAGGGGCACAGAGGCTGGTCCATGGACCACATAGTCATTCGTCATGGTTTCCCCATCTCCCTTCATACGTGGACACAACATCCTCTGGCAGATAAAGTATATCGTTCCAGACACAAAAATGGTGACAATCACTCCAATGACTGAACCGACTGTATTGGTGGCCTGTGGTGCTGGCTCTTCAGTTGGATCTAAAACAAAAAATGCAGTACAGTTATCTAATGGAAAAACAACTCTGTGCTCAAACTAACAAGGGGGCTTCCTAGCAGAACATGAAGCTACAAACAAAGGAAGACAACTCATATATGGTTTTCTTTTTTATGAATTTATATACACCACATCTCACGGGCATATGGATTAAATGCCACCGTTAGGAATCAAAATGAACTACCCTTAAGTGAACACAGAAATAAAACAGACTGGGAAATGGAACTGTAAATTGGCAAAAACGAAGATGATAAGCGATGTGTAGATTTAAAAACCATTAAGAAGCTTTAAATGCCTATGTACATAGATAAAATTTATTCTCCTTCATTCTGTATACTGTAAAACTCAACAATGGTATTTGAAATTTCAGGAAAAAAATTTAGGGCCATAAGGGATGAACCTAGAAAAGTTATCAAATGTTTTACCTGTAATGGTGAAAAAGTGAAAAGCACAAGTTAGAGTTTAGATCTGAATAGGACATTTAGGCCACGTGAAGGAAAATTAGGAACTAGATGAGCCTCAACTCTCAGACCCAATATGCTGCCACCTTCAGGCTACCTGGTGTCAGAGCAAGAAACACAAAGTCCCCAACCCCTGAATTCTAGTCAAAGAGCAGGACTAGAGTGTGAGAGGAGGACCCTGCCCAGGGTATCAGCTTCACTGGATCTGTAGGCTAGGGAGGCTTGAGGGAGCAGAGAGCATCGATATGAGAGTAGAGAAGGAGCAGACAAGCTTCCAGAATGCAGAGTATCACTCTTCTATCCAGAGTATTCCTCCCATCTGAATGGTGAAAATCGTATCTCACAACTGAGAACCCTTTGAATAACTTCCTTCTGCTTCATCTTATCCCAGATCTTCCATCCATTTAGCTAACTGACCCTGACAGACTACATGAAAGTGAGTAAAAATGACATCACTAAGCGACACAGTGTGTAAGGGCTATTACAAATTTAAATTTAGTTCATGGAATCTAAGCATAACCTCTCCTTAGTACTCCTGAGTAACCATCCCAACCTTTTCACTCTTTTTCGTGCCTTACGTTCCTTTGTAATTGCAAGAATCAAGAAAGAGTATTATATACTCGCCACTCCCAACGCTCGGCTCTGGGTTGTATCTTAACTCACCAAAACCAGTCTTCTCCTGTCACCCTGTACTGAAAACCCTCTGGCAAGGGCCCAAGTTTTCCTAATTGTCATTTTCAATGACCTCGTCGTCTCACTGACCTCTCTACACATTCGATCCTGCTGGCTCCGATTTTCTTCTCAAAAATGTCTGATCAATATCCTCCAAGACACAACTCTCTTAGTTTTACTAACTCTAATAGTTTTTTCTCTACTTCCTGTGTTGGCATCAATCAATCTCTTCTGTCTACCTCTGGCAGGTGTTTCCTAGAGTCCTACCGACCACCTACTGTTTTCCTCCTCCACTTACTCCCCTGCACAACTTCATCTGCTGCCACAGTGCTAAATGTCATCAATAAACTGGAGAGTGTCAGATGTCTCTCCTGAGCCACAGACTCACACAGTCAACAACTTCCCGAACAGCTTCAAACGGACATCCCATCGACTCCTTTCAGCCCCACACTGAACTCCTGCTCACCACCATCTGTCATGTCTTCTAGGTCCCAGAGGGAAAGCAGATACTGAAGGAATGAAGTCTAGTGTATGACAACAGAGAGTGATAGGGCCCTTAGCAAACTAAGAGTACATGCCTATCTCAAGGCATTTAAATTAAATTACAAACAAAGACAAATAGACAAAAACTACTGCATCAACCAAGCATGACACCTGCAGCCAGGATGGGGTAGAGTACCTCAGTCTTCCGTTCCTGCTACGTATCCTCGCCAATGGCTCCAGTCACTCGGTGAAGGACCAGCGGGCCAACTTAACTTACTAACTACATCTCCGGGTTACTAAACCACTTTTAGTGTGTTTTTAAATCCCTCTGAAGCCCATTCCCTCCTTTCCACCACTACTGCTGCCCCTCTCAATTTCAACTTTCATCATCTCTGTCTGACTACAACAGCCTCCTAAGCACTTTTATATTACAGATGCAAGGCACTGGTAGATGGTGACATTACTTGGCGGGTTGCGACCACTTTTAAAAAAATAAAAAGGAACAGACCATCTCAGAACGCACTCTACACGCCATGAGTAAGCGCTATTGCGATGTATCGTTTCTTTATGTATACACCCACATCTTTGTATTCCTCCTGATGTGGTCAAAAATAGTTCAAAAACAACCAATCTAACAGATTTCCCTTGCCAATAATCATCACCTCCCATCCACCTACTTTGCAGCTTTTGTACTCACCCTGCCATGCTTGTTTTTTCCTTAAAATTCTCACTGACTCTCCACATTGAGGGAGTACTGCCTGGGCTCTTTACAAGACAAGCCAAGTCCTCTGGGATCATCCCTTTACCAGAGTTGGAGTTATCTCTGGCTCACACCCTCAAGACACAACTGTACTCTGGCAGTTCCAGTTACAGGCGGTTTCCCAAAGGTACTGTTTGACTCCTTTCTGCTTTTGAACAGGCTATGCCTCCACCCGGAATGCAAGTTCTCTACTTCTCTGCATAACAAACTATTCATTGATCAACACCCAATCTTAAGTACCTTTCTTTTTTTTCTTGAGAGATTTTTTTTGCTATCGGGTGATCCTTGGAGAGACAGAGAGAGATCTAGAGAGAGAAAGTGAGAAATCACCCCCCTAGGGGGATGGCCATGCTGCAATCCCTTCACCCGCATTCTCCTCTTGGGATACACACACACCCAGCATGGGTTCCAAGCCACTAGGTCTGGGACTTGAACCACGGTTGGCATTTGCGAGTCCAGAACCTTAACCACATCATCTCTGGCCCCTACGTATCCTTCTTTTAATGTGGAAGATAAGGAAAAAAGTTTAACAGGAACAAATCACCAGTTGGGGAGGTGCTAGGGGAGGAGCTAGGATTCCAGCCCAGCTCTGCTTAGTTCTAACATCCCTATTCTTACTACTGTGACCCTGAGAAACTGGGTGCATGAGCCGATTATCCTCAGCACATGTGCTTGTTGTACACATGAACAGATTTATACATTCTCAGCAGGAGCCATGCTTACTGTAGTAGCACGCGCTTACTTACTTGAGAAAGCTCTTTAAGCATTGTAGTCACACAGAACTATGTGGGAACACTTCGAGAAAATAACAGGAGAGAGTAGGCACAGACTACTGCTCAGAAATGATAGACTTTATAGATTCTGAGCATGCTAATGGAATTAATAGATTCTGAAAGTCTGAGTACCCACTTGAACTTTGTAAAAGTACCAGCTTTAAGTCCTTATTATAGAGGACTTAAAGGACTTGACATTAATATCTGTTACTTAATAAGAAAAACTTTTAAAAATGAGTCTTGTTGGGCTGGCAAGTGGCGTGGTGGTTAAGGCACTGGATTACCACTTGACTGACCATGGTTTGAGTCCTGGACCCAGCAGGGAAAAATCACACTGGGCTTGTTTTCTGATTCCCCACACTCCTTCTCTGTGTCTCTCTCTGGTCAGATTAAAAAATAACAATAATATTTAATAAATATTCTTTTTTTTTTAAAGAGGTTTTTGCTATAGGGCACGAGTGCTCGCCAGAAAGACAGACAGACAGAAAGTGAGAAATCACCTCCCAGCGGGGATGGCCATGCCGCAATCCCTCTCTTCCATTCTCCTCTCGGGATCTTGGGCAAGCACGCACACACACACCCGGCATGAGTTTAAGCCACCGGGCACCGGGTCCTGGGACTCGAACCGCGGTCGACTACATGGGAGTTCAGCGACATAGCCATTACGCTAACTGCTGGTCCCATAAATATTCTTAATAAAGAAATGAGTCTTGCCTAAATTCCATTTATCAGTTTTAACAGGACAGACCTGCCTTATTCTGAATTTCATTTAGAATTATGTTTATCAGTTTAGGATACAACATTTGTTAGGGCATTGGCCAACAGTTTTGTACCTTAAAGAAACTATAAGCTGTTCAGCTAAGTCTAGGGTATATGTTGGCCCACGCAGCCTCGGGTTGCTATTTGAGAAAGCTCTTAAGTCTTATAGTCACAGAGAACTAAGTGGGAACACTTTAAGAAAACAACAGGGGACAGGAAGCATGGACTACGCTCAGAAACTAAGTGCAGACCACCGAGTGATGTCCAGGTATCTAAACTACCTAAACATTTTGAAACTTTAGTTATGGCAAAATAATATTCTTTTTGATGTCCCACTAAATGTTTCTGTGAAGATTTTTGTGCATAAGAAAACTGCTGTCTTTAAGAAAATAAATATTAAAACAAAAAATTCCTGGCACCAAAAACTAGCTTACTATTAATACCTGTTACTTAACAAGATAATCCTGATTATAAGTAATCCTCGCACTTAAAGTATTTTAAAACTCTTCTTCTGAGTAATTTACAAGGTTTTATTCCTACTTACAACAATCCAGTTCGTCCGATTTGTCACTGCAATCCACATTATGATCACATTTTTTGTGTTTTCCAATGCACTGACCATTGGCACAGCGGAACTGATCAATTAAACAAAGCACTGGGAAAAAAAGCATATGACTTTCTTAATTTCACCATCATGTAAAGCCAAATTCTAAAAAGAGTCAAAAGGTTTTGAGTACAAATTAAAACAAATTGCACTTTTAAATATTGTTAAATTATTATTCTCTGGAAATTTCCACTGGTAGAGGGAAATTTCACATATTGCTCTCATTTCTCAATTTTCAAAACTTATTAATCTGTATAAACCTTATGCACATGAAGTACACTGAAGCAATAATTGGCAACATGGTACTATGTTCAGACATGATCTGATCATATACTTGAAAACCCAAATCTACCCCTGAACCAAAGCAACACTGAATATTCAACAGCTTACGAGAAAACAAACTGCACAGCCAGATGATGAGGAACGTAAGATACCTTCACAGTTCTTCTCATCCGATTTATCCTGGCAGTTTGCATCTCCGTTGCATCGGAGGGCACCGTCAATGCACTGCCCACTGGCACATGGGAACTGGGACTCTGAGCACACCGGACAATTGAGTTCATCACTGTGGTCTTCGCATTCAGTGAACCCATCGCAACGCCAAGCCACAGGGATACAGTCAATTTCTCCCGTGAAACAAGTAAACTGTTGAGGAGAGCATGTTGGAGGTTCTTGATGAACAAGGGAAGAAGAGGAACAAAAAAATATGATAATGGTTACATAAAGTTTCAAACACATCATCTGAGTGAAGCTCATTTAACAACCAACATACACAAGACACTTATAATAAATATAACTTGCAAACCACTTCATTTAAGCAGAGAAGAAAAAGTTTTTATACTACTTCATTTAGATTCATTAAGCTAAGCTATAAAATTATAAAGCAGAAATCTTCCCTTAATTGTAATTAAGGTAGGATTTTAATATTTACAATCAATTACAATCTCACAAATAAACCTTGGACTAATCAATATAATCACCCATTTTCTAATATTTGAAACTTAGCTTACAACTTGTAAATTCTCTAAGGTTTTTAAAGGGTGGTTCATGAGACCTCTGTCAGAAGATCCACTAGGTCAAAGCTATTTTTATAATACTACAAACATGTTATTTGACTTTCTCACTACATTTGCACTGGTGCTGCAAAGGAACTGGAGGTAAAACTGTTGACTCTCAGGCCCAAGGCAACGGCATCAGCCCAGGCAAGTGACCCCTATACTACTCTACAAACTGAGTACTCACAGTATAAGCAAACAAAAGGTCAGCTTCACTTAAGCATGTTCTTGAATCATATTAAAATCAACCCTTGAATATATGTCTCTCCAGTATGTTTAATAAAACAGAAGGTGTGCACCATGTTCATGTCACAAATCTAAACATGACGGTTTCTAAAGGGAAAGTGTTTGAGTTGGAAACGTCACTCAAAGTAGAACACCATTTTTACCTGTGACAATAACCAGCAGATAATTATAATGATTTACACTTGGTATTTGGCAGAAATGTTTAAAAAATAAACCAAGTGAGCCTGTTACTTCAAGGAAAATAGTATTTGTAGCAAATTATAAAATTGGAGCTTGAATTGAGTATGAAATTAGAATTTTGGAAAATGTGTATCTAATGCTGTAAGTCTGACAGATTCCTCTGGTGAGATTACATTTAATAAATAAGAGTTTTACATATTATATAATGAAATAAGTCAAAATCTAAACATCTGGGAACTTGTGAAAGTAATTTTGGTATTTCCAAATGACTAAGGTATGAGGTTACAAAATCATGCTTTGGTAATAGATAAACTCAGAGGATAGTATTAATTAGTAGTTTTCATATATGAAAAGCTAATAGATATGGTTTCGAATTCCACACAACTAAACATACAAGAAACTACCACTTGTCAAGTGGTAAAATAAATAAAATCTAAGATGAATATATATAGTCTGAAGAGACTATTACAGTCTTTCCATTTTCTAACTAAAATATCTGTGAGGACAAATTTTCACGTATTTCAACCAAAATGACATGATACAACAGACTGAATGCAGGAGTAGGCATGAGAATCTAGCCCAACATTAAAAAGATTTACAAAAATATAAAGCAATGCTATTCTTCTCACTAAAATTATTTTTGCTTTAGAAAATGTAGGTAATTTTCTTAACATACTTCATTTATGAAAACATGTTATTCTTAATAGTTTTTAAAGTTCTTGGTTTTAAATTCAAGTACAGTAAGTACAGATAAATATAACCCATGTAAACCAAAATTCAGGGTCTTCAATAATTTTTATAATGAAAAATATATGCTGGGACCAAATAGTTTGAGAATTGCCATTTGAGGCTGATTTGGTTCCTAAGGAGGAAATGAGGATCTGAGGGGCTAAGTGACAGCTCAGGGTCACACAGCTTCCTCTTAGTAAGTGATGAGATGAAAAAATAAGGGCAGTCTCCTCATGTTAGCCCACTGTCTTTACTACTCTACCACAGGCAGATTTCTCATAAAACCTGCGTAGTTAGTAAATTCCCTAGAGAACACAACTTTATTACATGACCATGAATTACAAAATTCTTTGAGAGAATACCACAGATTACAGGTGAACATTTTAAATGAGAACACTGAGGAATGATTTTGAGTCTATTACATCAGTCAGAGCTGTATATACTCAGTTGTTTAACTTAATAATTTTCTGACCATTAAAAATTACACTGTTTAGGCCAGTAGGTGGAATGGTGGTTAGGGCGCTAGATTCCCATATGGTTTACTGTGGTTCGAGTCCCAGACCTGGCAGCTTGAAAACCACAACAAAGAAATAGATAAGAAAATGTTTTTAAACAATTATTCTTTTTAAATTTCTACCATATAGCACATAAAATAGCATGATACAATCATTATCCTCCAGTTGAATTAACTTAGAATTATCACCAGAGGAGGATTTCTGAATTAAGAGTATGAATACCATATGATGCTTGATACTGCCATACAATGACTTAATAAAGAAACATGCCAATCTCTTACACCTAAGTGATTAAACCAATAGCACTACAACAGTATCATTACCATCAGTGCTACCTTTAAAAAACATTATTTTTTTTTACTAGATAAATAAGTAATAAAAACAACAGGAGACTGCTGATGCATTTAAACAAAAAATATTCTTTTCATAAGAATCGTTCCCAACAATGATACATAAACTGACAGACTCTAGGATTCACTGGAGGGAGATTATATAAGATAGAATTTATCTTCTTACTCTCTGAGGGTGAAAAGCTACTTTACTATTAGAAAACACATCATTCACAGGCTAAGTTTCACAGGCTGAAAATGTGGTAATGTATACACAATGAATTACTATTCAGCCTTAAAAAAAAAAAAAAAAAGACAGAAATCCTGCCAGTTGCGACAGTACAAATTAAAGTGGAGGATATTGTTACCTAGAACAAGCTGAGCTCAGACAAATACCTCATGATCTCACTTACGTGAAAAGTGTAAAAACGCTGAACTCATACAAACAGAGAATGAAATGGTGGCTAATAGAGGGTGGAGTTAAAAGGACTGGGGAGAAGGAAAGAAAATAACCCAGAAGCCTAATACAGCACAAATTAATGGAAGACACGTGCCTAATTTAACTTAGGAGAAAGAGCGACTTTGATGCCTAATCATAGAAGGCTATTCTACCATACGGGACACGTGGCATTTAGGCTTGCACAAGAAAAGTACAACATACTTACCTCCACACGAGAGCTCATCCTGAAGCAGCACCAGGTGCATGGGGCAAGAGCACCGTGTTGTACCGTCTCCTTTTACAAGACAAATATGTGAGCAGCCACCATTATCCTGAGCACAAGGGTGCTGTCCTATAAAACAAAAGAAGAAGAAAATAGAAGAGAAAAAAGAAAGAGAAAGGGGAAACGCTGTTAAAATCAATTATTTATGAACTACAAAGAAAACCAAATACAAAATTGGCTTTTATTTGCATATAGTGCAATTCCTCAGTCCATCCCCATACAATCCATAATGCTTACATGTAACTGCTGTCTTCATATATTTATATATAAAACATTTGAAAATATTTTAAGCAATATAATAGTATAGCTTATGTTAATATTCATGATCATGAAAATGAAAAGCTGATTACTGATACTAAAAAATAGGTAGGAAGAATGCTGAGATCTGGGTATTATCCTATTTAAAATATAAAAACTCGAGGGGCTAGCAGATACCCTAGTAGTTAGGCTGCTGGACTCCCGCATGGTCGACACTAGTTTGAATTCTGGGCCTGGCAGCTTAAAACTCACACCAGGTGCATGTGTGCGTGCATGCCCAAGATGCCAGGAAGAGAATGGAGGAAAAGGGATTGCAGCAAGGTCATTGCCCCGGGGAGTGATTCCTCACTTTCTGTTTGTCTCTGTCTCTCCAGGTGAGAGCGTACGCACCCTATAGCAAAAATCTCTTAAAAAAGAAGAAGAAATAAGAACAACTTGGGACAGCAGGTGGTGTGGTGGTTAAGGCACTAGACTCCCACGTGGCAGACCACAGTTCGAGTCCTAGACCTAGCGACTTGCTTTCTCACTTTCTCTCTATCTAACTCCAGTGAACACATATGTCCTATACCAAATTAAAAAATAGTAATAAATTAATGATTATTTAAAATAAACCAACTCTTCTGTACTAAAAGAGTTTAACTAAGAAATTCTACACTTCTAAAAGATGAGATGATTTCACTCCGAAAGTGTATTTTAGGCCTAGCGCATCAGTAAGGCAAGTGCCGTGTAAGAATGGAAGCCTTATGGCTTCCAACTACAACATTACAAATTTCTTTTCTTTTCTTTTTTTTTTTGAGACATTTTTGCTATAAGGCACTTGTACTCGCTGGATAGATAGAGACAGAGAGACAGAAAACAAGAAATCATCCCTCAGGGGTGATGGCCACGCTGCAATCCCTTTTCTTCCATTCCCCTCTTGGGATTTTGGGCACACACGCACACGCACCCAGCATGAGTTTCAGGCCGCTGGGTCGGGGACTTGAACTGCAGTCACCTACATGGGAGTCCAGCAACATAACCGTTACTCCATCTGCTGGTCCCTATAGCTATTTATTACCTGGTATTTGGGATAAAATAAATAAACAAATGACAAGAGAATGTTTCAAAGTCTATTTCACAAGTTGTATTTAAAGAAATCACTGCTTTGAATTTTCTACTTAGCTTGTGTTGAAAGTAACCTGACCTCTGTTACTACACAATACCAGTCTCTAATGTAGCTACCATTTATTATGACTCTTCTACATTAACAGTGGTCTTGCCTCAGTCTGTGCTGGTGAGACTGAGAGTCATTATCTACAAATGAGCAGACTGTCTAAAACAGACACCACATATTATATTGTAATGCACAATTTACATTAATAGTATTTCTCAATCTTCTAATTTTTTTAAAAGAGATTTTTGCTACAGGGCGCACGCGCTCGCCAGAAAGAGAGAGACGAAGAGACAGTGAGAAATCACACCCCAGGGAGGATGGCCACGCCACAATTCCTTCTCCTCTATTCTCCTCCCAGGATCTTGGGCACACACGCACACGCACCCAGTGTGAGTTTAAGCCACCAGGTCCAGGACTTGAACCACAGTTGACTACATGGGAGTCCAGCAACACAGCCATTACGCTAACTGCTGGTCCTTCAACCTTCTAATTTTTAAAAATAATTATTTACCTATTATTTTATTATTATTATTTTTAAAAATTCACCAGAGAGAAAGTGAGAAAGAAAATTGCCAGCTCCAGTTCTCAAACTGCAGTAAGGCCATGCGGAAGTCTAGCGTGTTAACCACCATGCCATCTGCTGACCCCAATCTCCTAATTTTTAATAAATGCAATCTTTTTATAAAAAGTTTCAAAAAATGTTTTTTCAAAATGTGAATCCATATTTAAAAGTTACATGAAAGATACTCTGTTGAAATTACATGAACTTCCATGAGATTTTCTCTTCAATATCGTAAATTGACTAAATGAGTAACTTAGATATTATGTCATACTTTGCTTTATTTCTACTAAATGTTCACCGAGAGTTATACAAGTCATAGCAAGATGACAATGATTCTGACTTTCTACTTCTCAAACACTGAACTTTACTTCTAAGTTCATGAATGGTGGGGTAGTATAATTAACACTTGCACTGAACAAATAAACACTCATCCCTTTATGTTCCTTTCAGGCTTCAATTGCTTAGAACGTGTTGTGCTGAGAAGTTAAGGAGTTTGAATAGTTTCCTTTTCGTACTCCATTTAACATTAACATCATGTTAAGATTAGTCACAGTGATTATTATGAGAGTACTTTTATTTTCTTCTTTTGTGCACAAGGGCATATGCACTGGCTAAAGAGAGAGACAGAGAAGGAGCAACAAGAGCAAGCCAGCCCACAAGTCCACCCCACAGTGGGTACGGTCATACCAAACTCCTTTTTCCTTCATTTCACCTTCCCGTCAGGATTTTGGACACAGAATACACATGTGCCTTACATAGTTTTCAAGCTGCCAGGGTTGAGAGTCAAGCCATGGTCAGCCATGGGGGATCCAGCTCCCTTTACCACTGAACTGTGGGGCCAGCCCAAAAGAGTACTTTTGACAAAACAAATGTACTGGCTTCAAAAAGGTAACAGAAAAAGTACAAGTCTATTTTGGTGCCAAAAATTTAAAAACAAACAATAACAAAAAACAAAACCAGAGACCAGCAGGTGGCAAAATGGTTACATCACTGGACTCCTGAGTAGTCAACCGCAGTTGGAGTGACAGACCAAACGGCTTAAAATCATGCTGGGCACGTGTGTGCGTGTCCAAAATCCCCAGAAGAGAACAGAGAAGGGATGGTGGTGTGGCCATTCCCCCAAGGGAGTGATTTCTTGCTTTCTGTCTCTCTGTCACTCCAGTGAGCACATGTACCCTACAGAAAAATAAAATAAAATAAGCCTCTCCCCACCAAAAAAAAAAGAAAAAAGAAAAACCCAAACCAGAAATCCATGCATAGTTTTTACATAATATTCATTTTCCATTTAGCTTCTGAAGATTGTTCATATTAATAAGAAGCTAGGCCAAGATGATTAGCCATTTTCAAAGGTTTTCAATAAGGACTAGATCTGCAGTGCAGTGGTTAAGCGCTATGTAGGAGGAGCCAAATCCCACATGGCCAAGTGTGGTTCAAATCCCTACTGCATGTGCACTCATGCTAGGACACTGACGGAAAGGAGGAACAGAAGAAAGGGGACTACGGTGTGACCAAGCCCCAGTGGAGGTGCATGCTCTCTTTTCCTCTCTTTCCTTTTGATGCACTTGGACACCCTCTGACATTCCAGAAGTTTTCAATAAGATTTAAAAATTACTGAAATCAGCAGGTGGTGTAGTTTAAGGCACTCAACTCCCACATGGTCAACTGCAGTTTGAGCCATGGATCCAGCAGCTTGAAACTTGTGCCATGCATGTGTGCTCAAAAATCCTGAGAGGAGAATGAAGTTGAAGGGATTGTAATATGGCCATCCTCCATGTGTGTGTGCGCATGCACGTGTGTGATTTCTCACTTTGTCTCTCTAATGACCACATGTGCCCTATAATAAAAATCTCTCAAAAGAAATTTTTAAAAATATTTATGGCTATTTTAATTTTTTTATGGCTACTTTTTAAAGTTGGAAATTGGAAAAACTTATCTAAGGAGATTACTTGCTAATTAAATAGTCTTCTCTGTTTACACACTAGTTTTAGTTTATTTTGCTACTAAGGTTAATTTATGAGAACAATATTCATTGTTGCATGAAATATAAGTTTTATTTAAACTATGGGGGATATACAGGAAAGAAAAGAAATAAATGCCTTGAACTACCAGATTCTCAAAGTCACTGAAGAAGATAAAGACATGACAGGCAGAGCCACTAGTGTACTCAAGAGATTTTTTTATTTGTCTGAAGGTGAATGGACTCCACAGAGAGAAAGAGAGTGGGTAAAAGGGACCATTTCCCATGGGGAATGGTCATGTGGCAATCCCTTCTCGATTTCTTTCCTTTTTGGGATCTTGGGCGTGCAATGCACATCATGTTTCGTGCATTTCTCAAACTGCTAGATCCAGACTCAAACCCTGCGACCGGCCATGTGGGATCCTTAACCACACCATCAGCTGGACCTTGGAGAAATTTTTTTAGATGAGCAAGATAATGCCCCTTTCCCCTCCTAGTTCATGAGAATAACATGTTTAATTTGAAAAGCCTCCCGGGTATGAGTCTGACATAAGGCTATCCGAGCATGAAGAGTTCAAAGAAATAGCACAGCTGAAAGTGAATGAAAATTGTGAAGATAAAAGAGGTTAAGATCTAAAACTGTATCTTGATTTCCTACCAAAACATGAGCCCCACGTTAACCAGATTAGCACTTACTGTATTCCTGAAGGTTCAGCTCCTTTACTGCATGAATGTCACTAAGCTGGGCGATTCGAGCCTGAACTTTGGTTCGGCCCTCTCGACCTGTCATGTCAATTTTTTCAATCATTTGTTGCTGTTTATCAATCCAATAGAGCCAGTTTTCAAACACAGTCAATCCCACAGGCTGCAAAATATTGGAGTCTTCTAATACTATCCGGTTGGCACCTTGGAAAAGGACATTCAAGAGAAATGACTCATGAGGATCAAGTCATGCTTCCAACAATTATTTACTGAATACCAGTTACATTCTAAAAGAACAGAAAAGGAAAATATAATAAGCTTTCTACCACAAAATTTTAAAATCATCCTGAGAAGATAAACCTGTGCTTTTTGAGGGGAGGAATGGAACGTTGCAGGCAGATTCCACATTGTATATAGAAATTGTAAAAGGGGCCAGCAGGTGGTGTAGTGGTTAAGGGCGCTGGACTCCCAGATGGCTGACCACAGTTTCAGTCCCTGACCTGGTGGCTTGCTTTCTTGCTTTCTCTCCCTCTCACTGTCCCTCTCTGGTCAAATTAAAAATAAATGAATAAACAAGCAAATAAAGTTAAATAAAATAATTCTTTAAAAAAATCCTCAATAATTGCGCCAACGTAACCTGAAGGAATATTTAAAAACTGAAATAAATGAGAAATCTGTATAATAATTAAGACAGTATAGCATCATGTAACTAAGCTGACCAAGGGACTATCAGAGTCCAGAAACAAACTTAGACCAATACATTCACCACATTCATGACAAAGGTGACGTTAGAGAGCCGTGTGGACAGGATGCGCCCTTCAATAAACAGTGCTGAACTGAAAACTTAACAATGTGGAAAAAATAAATTTTACCCTGTTCACATTGTACACAAAACCAGATCGCAGGGGGAATTACAGAGCTAAATGAAAAAGATTAAACAAAAAATTTTAGATAAAAAAGAAAAAACACAGAAAAATATCTTTGAGTCTTTGCAACAAAATTTTCTTAAAGAGAACATAAAAGATGCTAATCACAAAGGGAAAAATCAATAAACTGTACTACATTAAAAGTAAAAGCTTCACTTTCATCTAAAGACACCATTGGGAGAATAAAAATGGTAAACTACAAACTGGGAGAAGATTTATGCATTAAATATCTTTGACTAAAGATTCACATTCAGAATGCATAAAAAATTCTATACATCAGTAGACTTTCAAGTTACTAGCTCTTTTTTTTTTTTTTTGAGAGGTTTTTTGCTATCGGGTGCATGCGCTTGCCAGAAAGACAGAGAGAAATCACCCCCACACACACACACACAGGACACAGGCGAATGGCCACACCGCAATCCCTTCTCCTCCATTCTCCTCTCGGGATCTTGGGAATGCACACACAGGCACCCAGCATGAGTTTAAGCCACCGGGTCCAGGACTCGAACCACGGTCAACTATGTGGAAGTTCAACGACACAAGCCATTACACCAACTGCTGGTCCTTGTTATTAGCTCATTTTAATCTTATATAAACTGTTGTAGAGATTTGAAAATCGGGAAATATTCACCAATGTATTTCAAGAAGCTAATATAACTTTAATACCAAAGCCAAAGATAGTTTAAGAATGGTAAGTTATAAGCCAATTCCCCCAGTAAGACAATTTCAGCAATGCATTTTAAAAATGGATCATAGAGACCAGAGGATGGTATAATGGTTACGTCACTGACTCCCACATAGAGGACAATGGCTCAAGTCCTAGACCCAGTAATTTAAAATTCACACAGGGTACCTGTATGTAAGTGCCCAAGATCCGAAGAGGAGAAGGGATTGTGGCTTGACCATCCCTTTCGGGGGGTGATTTCTCACTTTCTGTCTCTGTCTCTGCGGCAAACACACATGTCCTACAAGTTGGAATTAGCTCGAGAAGAAAAGCACAGGTTAATAGATCCATTAACAAGACCAGGAGATGATATAATGGTTATGTTGCTGGACTCACACATAGTTGACCATGGTCTGTGGCTTAAAAACACAAGCTGGGAGGCTGGCAGGTGACATGGTAGTTAAAAGCACTGGACTCTCTCATGGTCGACTAGGGTTTGAGTCTCAGACTTGCAACTTGCTTTCGCACTTTCTCTCTCTCACTCTCACTCTGTCCCTCTCTGGTCAAATTAAAATAAATAAAATAAATGAATAAAGTTTTCAAAAAAATGCACGCTGGGTGCATGTGCATACATGCACAAAATCTTAAGAGAAGAATGGAGGAGAAGGGATTGTGGCATGGTCATTCCCCCATGGGTGACTGACCCATGAGGGTGATTTCTTGCTTTCTGTCTCTCTCTCTCTCCAGTGAGCACACATGCCCTATCACAAAAATCTCTCCAAAATAAATAAATAAATCTATTAATATAAAAAACTCAAGCAACAGGACTCAAAGACGGACTGATGTATATATTATAAGATCTGATATATCTAAAAATGATGGAAAAAATGGATACATAGTGGTGTTGAAAACTGACTGATTACAGAGATAAAAAAAAAAATGTCAGGTTCTTTATACCATTAACTAAAGAAGGCTATAATAAATCTGCAAATAAAGTACAGATCGCTATAAAGAAAACAATAAAGATGTACTAAAAATTAGTAAACAAGACCAAAGTGGAAAGAGAGACACTCCGACCATTGACAGAAAGGCTGAATGTTCTAAATGTGCCTGTCTCCCTCTCTCTCTATATATATAATATATATATCATATATATATATATATATATATGATATATATATGTATGTGTATATTATATATATAATTTAATAATGAATTAATATACTAAAATACATAGAGAATTTCTAGAAATCTGAAATAGAAAAATGGGCAGAGGCTATGAATAACAATTCGCCATGAAACAAAGTGACCAAAAAATACAGAAAAGGTTTTGTTAAACCTCAACAGCAAGTAGGGAAATGAAAATTTCACTTATAAGATATATCTTTTAAACAACTGGGTTGATAAAAATCTGGAAATCTGGTAATACCACGTGCTAGAGTGACAACTCTCATATACTAGGACCTTAATTGATATAATTACACTGGAGAGCAATCTGGATATATCTAGTTAAGCAGAATATATACATACAATTACACAGCAATTCCACTACTAGGCTTAGGCCATATAGAAGCGTTCAAATGTGTGCTCAAGAACATTTACGGCAGCACTGTTTTTAATGGCAAAAAACTGGAAACAGTTTAGACAGACAGTGAACTAAATTGCAGGAGAGTCATATAATGAAATATTATGGGACCAGCAGTAGGCGTAATGGGTATGTCACTGAACTCCCATGTAGTCGAACACAGTTCGAGTCCCGGATCCGGTGGCTTAAACGCACGCCAGGCACACGTGCATGAGTGCCCAAGATCCTGAGAGGAGAATGGAGGAAAAGGGATTCCGGCGTGGCCATCACCCCCAGGGGGTGATTTCTTGCTTTCTGTCTCTCTTTGTCTTTCTGGCAAGCACACACGCCCTATAGTAAAAAAACTTCTCAAAAAAAAAAAAATACATAAATATGTAATTTAGCAATGAAAATGCAGAGTTCTAGATCAATATGGATCACCCTAAAACTATGGTATCTCTGTTATGAGCAAGTTATGAAAGAATACACATGAGTATTTATATGAAGTTTAAAAAGCAAAAGAAAGCTTAAATTATGTGTGTGTGTGTGTGTGTGTGTGTGTGTGGTAAAAGTAACACATATACACACAATATGCACGGCACGAAAAAGAGCAAAAATTCCCCCTCTGCAAGAGGGGGAAGAGAACAGGACTGAGAAGGGGTACACAAAACCTCAAAATTTTCTCTTAATGTTTTGGTTCAAGGGAGGAGGGGAAAAGAAAGACCAAGACCAAATATGGCTGAATACCAAGATTTGACAAAATTGGATGGTAGGTATTGTACATTGTAGGTTTAAACTATTTCGTAATTAGTGGTGAAGAAAAATCCACATATGGGGAGGAGGAGGAAAAAACAGGAAGTTAACTCAGTGTGTCAGCAATGAAGAACCAGACAGTGGCACAGCAGCAATGCCACTGGACCCACATGGAAAACGCCTGGGTTCATGCATTAACCATGCTGCCTGACTGGGGGTGGACTGCCCCACAAGGACCCTGTTGGGGGAGACTGTCCCTGACTCTCCCCTTCCTCTCTCTCCCCTTCTATGATGGGAAAAATAAGTAAACTTCTTAAAAATTTGAAGTGTTAACTAACAACTACAGTGTTTTAGATAACTTTTTCTTTATTTTCTAAGCTTTATTTAGTAAATGTGTTACTTTTTCAACAAAAAAATAAGCATCATAAATGAAGAGAAAGAAAAGGAGAACTCATCTACAATACTAATAAAAGTATTAAGACACTGACATAGATAACTACCGTACAAATTAGAGATGATGTAAGAGTACGAGACATCAGGGACCAGCAGTTAGCATAATGGCTATGTCGCTGGACTCCCATGTAGTCGACCGCGGTTCAAGTCCTGGACCCGGTGGCTTAAACGCGCTGGGCGCGTGTGTGTGCGTGCCCAAGATCCCGAGAGGAGAATGGAGGAGAAGGGACTGCGGCGTGGCCATCCCCCCTGGGGGGTGATTTCTCGCTTTCTGTCTCTCTGTTTCTCTCTCTGTCTGGCGAGCGCACGCGCCCTATAGCAAAAACCTCTCCCAAAAAAAAAAAAAAAAAGTACGAGAGATCAGAGGAGGGAGCCAGACATGTAAACACACGTGCACGACTGGTGCACAACTGCTTAGAATCAGAGAAGAAAAAACAGGATGGGGGTGTTTGAAGATGAAGAAAAAACTTAAGATTTTTTTTTTTAAAAAAACAAAACAAGTGCATTCAAATATACAAAAAATAGATACAGGCAAGGGGGCCGGCAGGTTGTGTGGCGGCTAAGGGCGCTGACTTTCACATGGCCAACCGCAGTTCAAATCCTGGACCTGTGGCTGGCTTCC